CCCTTCCTCGCGCAGCGGTCAGACCCCCAGCTCCAAAGCCCGCCTGCGTGGGGGGAAATTAGGGCAGGATCCGGGGGGGTGATTTTTGGGAGGGTCGGACGTCGGCTCCTGACCCTGGCACGAGAAAAGAGGGGGGTTTTCCCCAAACCTGAGCGTTGCACGAGGGGGTGCGCCGGGGTTTGCAGATCCTGTGGGTTTCCTGGCATTTTTTGCTTCAGAAACCCCATTTTTCCCCATTATTTCCGAGCCAGCCAGACCTCCTCGCTGCTCCCCTTGGGCTGAGCTTTTGGCTTTTAACCTGTTGCTTTTAACTCCGGCCGAGGCCCCGGGATGGCTTCTCTCCGGGGAAAATGAAATCTTGTTTCCCCACGGTGCAGCCTGGGGGTGATTTTTGGGGAGCGCTGTGGGGGGGCCTGTGAGATTTCAGCCCCGCGGTGGAGTCTGAGGCTGTTCAGGATTCAGCTCCTTTGGCTCAAACCCTAATTTCCACCTTTTTTTTTACCACCTGGGGCTTCTTGCGGCTGCAGCAGGGAGACCCCCAGGCTCAGGGACCCGCAAAGACGCTCCGGCTGCCTTGGGATTGAAAAACGGGGAGGAGAAAGGGGTAAAATAACAGCGTGTGCCCCCGGTTTTGGTCCATTTGGGGAGGAAAAGGCAAGCGGGGTGTTGCAGGGAGCGGGAAGCCATTTCCCATCAGCTTCCCAGCTTTTCTACGGTTTGAGCGAAGCAACTGCAACCTTAAAATAGCTGCTTCGCAGGCAGGCAGTGGCGGCCCTGCTGCGCGGGAAGCCTTCCCATCAGCTTCCCAGCTTTTCTACGGTTTGAGCGAAGCAACTGCAACCTTAAAATAGAGCCTTCGCAGGCAGGCAGTGCCGGCCCTGCTGCTCTCGCTGCCGTGGCCTCAGCAGCCTCGTAGGTTTTTTGCAGCCACAATAATAAAAAATGCATGACTCTGTGTGGTTTTCGGCTTTTCTGCTGCAGCTCGGGTGCGTCGTTTGCTCCCGGCACGAGGATGGTTTCGGGGAGGTGGCAATTAGTGAATTAGTGCAAATGAGGAAGGTTTCTATCCATGCCAGCCTCTATCTCTTGTTATTTCTGTTCTCGCCCTCATCGACAGAGGTAAGGACTCTTTATTTAATTGCTCAACGTTCATATCGACAGGGCAGGTTTAAACCCTCCCCGAAAGCTCGTTTATTTATAGATCTCGCATTATTTAGGAGGGGGGTCCCCCTGCTCCGGTCTGCTCCTGCGGTGCCTCCCCCCAGCTGCCCTGGGGCTGGTTTTCCTTTTCTCTCCTAGGTTTTGGGGGGATTGCGCCGCGTAATGGGGTGGGGGGCACAGGAGCATCTGCGGCTCATTTGAGATGGGAAAACAACCAGGATTTGCACTTTGAAAGCTGAAAAAAGGGCTCTGAGCTGATTCAGGGCTGCCAGTCCCTCCTCTAGCTGCCTCTTGCCTTGACTGACTGCCCTTGCAAGTAGCTAACTCTCATCATTAGGTTCCAGGGTGAACAAGCACCCGCACAGTGCGAGGAAGGTGGCTCGCCCGGTTATCCCCCGGGACAATGCTTTGGCTTTGATTTCTTGGGGTGCCTGTGGTCCTCTCGCTGTCCCGCGCAATTCAGGGCTGCCAATCCCTCCTCTAGCTGCCTCTTGCCTTGACTGACTGCCCTTGCAAGTAGCTAACTCTCATCATTAGGTTCCAGGGTGAACAAGCACCCGCACAGTGCGAGGAAGGTGGCTCGCCCGGTTATCCCCCGGGACAATGCTTTGGCTTTGATTTCTTGGGGTGCCTGTGGTCCTCTCGCTGTCCCGCGCTCCGTTCTCAGCTCCCGGCGTTTATACCACATCGGAGGCTGCTGCCAATTCGGGCGCCACGTCTCAGCCTGTCGTGGCTCGTCAGCAGCGACCCAGCGCCAAGATTTGCTGGCAAAACCAGTGGGTCAGGTCAAAATCCTCCCAAAATCCAGCAAACCGGACAAAAATCCCAGTGATAAATCAGTGGGGACCGTGACACCCATCCCTGCAGCCAGAAAATGGGACATTAAGCTCCTCCAGCAAGGAGGAAAAAAAAAGATATCTTTAATTAAAAAGCAATTTGCTGATCAGCCCGGCGTCCTGGGAGCTTGCTCTTTACGCCGCGTGGACTGATTCCCATGGAGGCACCAGCCGAACCGAATTTGGGCTTGAGCGGCACGAGGGCATCCCAAAACAGGCTTTTATCGCCTCTGTCTTCAGCCAGCTTTCCCTGCTGCCTGGCAGCCGGTAGTTAAAAGACCTGGGAAAATGTGAGAGAGAGAGATATATATAATTTTTTTTTTCTGTTTTCAATCAAATGAATTTCTTTCTTTCGATCTCACTGATCAGGAGCTGTTATTCCTCCCCCCCCCCCCCCCCCCCGGGGGTATAAAC